AATTATGAATATGTGACCATTAATCACAAAATGTGACTTTATTATCTTTATTTAATAAATATTTTTAATTAATTAAATAAATACCTGATTTTTGAATTTTTAAACGATTTACCTTATTTTTGAATTGAGGTAAAAAAAAACATCTTAACTATGATATTTTCCCTATTTTTAATACAATTCTGGAAAGATTGTTTTTTATAAATCCCAAAATTTAAAATTTATAGGGCCTTATATTTAAAGTTGGCCTAGGCCCTAAAATCTTGGTGTCGACGCTGATCATTCCATGTTCTCTATAATTCATTACAAATAAATAATATAGAGATTCATTCTACGTATATCGAATTTTTTTACCTACTACTCACAATAGAGATGTTGATCACATTGTCGAAATTTTTAAATACACGCGAGCCCCGCGAATTATGTGAGAGGGATAATCCATTATGTACAAACCATTATGTACAAATGAATTAACCCTAATATAGAATTCCGTTACAAGTCCATCCCATACATTGGTTTCACAAAATTCTGAGACATCCACAAAAGTTTAATTGTATATTATGAGTTATTGAAATATAAATGAGTGATGAATGAGTCAATAATAATTGTGTGTTTCGTAAAATGTATAATTAAAATTAAAGTTCGATTCTAACTTTTAAATTATAAAGAGATTATAATGAATATCAAATAAGCAGCTCAAATCCCTATTTGGTAGGGACTAAACTCAAAATATTAATTTAATTAAAGTTAACAATTAATTTCAACTACATATTTCATGGGGTCAACAACTCTTCAACCATATAATTTATTAATTTTTATCAAAATATACTAAAAAATTGAATTTAATCACCACCAAATATGGGCTAAATAAGACAACAAAAATCGGCTCGTTAAATTCTCTCTCGCACTAAAAATGTTGTGTCAACAATTAATTAGGTGTACAGTAAATTGGACAGCAATTATATTATTTGTACAAAGTTAGATGACAACATTGGTTGGCAATGTTGATATACCAAAAAATTGTTGATTGAAAAAATCAACATCTTTCAAACAGTCTAACGACAACATATCTCCTGATATATTGCCAACAATATTATCAATGAACATCGTACTCCAAGCACGGTTCATTGAACGAAGTGATCTCAACTTAACTTGGCTTGGCTTGGCTTGGCTTGGCTTGGCTTGGCTTGGCTTGGCTTGGCTTGGCTTGGCTAGATATTACAATTGATATAAAAAAAAAAAGAACCGCATACCCTTAATGCAAACTTGGATCCGCCCCCGAATACCCGCATTTAGATTTAGGGCTTCATTTTCCTGTACGGTTTACTTCGTGAAATTCAAATCACATTTCTCCGGTGAGAACGCCACGTTCAGATTAGGTAAAGCGACGTCGTTTTACCTTTCTCTCTTTCGTTTACTTTTTATACGTTCTGTAAATCCAATTTTTGTTCCTGTAGGTTTCTTACCAAAATGGATAAGGAGAAAATCGAGGAATTGAAGATCCAAATGCAGAAATGGTTGGATGAGGCTCAAGAATTTATTCAAAAAGTTTCGCCAAACGAGATTTACGCTGCAATTGGAGTAGTCGTATTCACCATATTTCTCTTCATAATAAGTAATTCCTCAAAATTTTACTGTGTTCAATTTTATACGAATTTTATGTTTGATGAATTCAACTTCTCTTTTGGGTTGCTGCATTTTGCTTTCATAGGATCTGTTGATTAGCCGTTTGTTGAAATATTTTTTGGTATTATTAGCAGTAAATTTGGTGTTGTATTGAAGCTTGCAATTTTATGTAGTTCTTCTTATGAACATTTCAAAATTTTAGTTCTAAGAAATATATTGACAAATGACAAGTCTGTCATGGAGGTTTTTCTTGTTGCATTTGGATATTGGATCCAAAAATTTCAAGAAAACCTTCATCCTGTAATGTCAACTTAGAGCTTGTTTGGCAGGGATTTTTGGGAGAAGAATTGATTTTTAAATAGTGATATGATGGGAAATGTGTGGTTGAAAAAGAAGAAAAAAGTATTGATGTGATGGAAAATATTATTTTATTGAAAAATGTGTGGTTGAAAATGAGAATTTATTTACTGTAGAAAATGA